TACAACAGGGGTGTCAAACTCAATTTCATTGAGGGCTGCATCAGCATTGCGGTTGTCCTTGGGGGGCCGGGTAGGTGTGGCCAAGGTGGGCATGGCCTACTGGGTGGGCATGGCTGTAGTGGGTGTAGCCTACTGGGTGGGCATGGCCAGCTCCACATCATTCGCGTCAAGGGTGCCTGTGGGGGCCTGGGCAGGAGTCGGACAGATCTGAGGGTCTCTGGCAGAAGGGGTAGGACCGGGGCAAGCGCCAAGGCATGGTCCACTGGAAGAGTGGACTGTTCCTCTCAGGCCATGCAAGGGGGGGTGGATAGTGCCGCAGGCTTCCCAGAGCCCTGGGCAGCAGAGGTCGAATGCCTAGCCTGGCCCTCGAGTACCCGCAGCACAAAGCCCAGCCCCACTTCCTCAAGGGGGTGCCCAGCTGGACTTACCTCCTCCTCAAGGCTGCTGCTGCTGTGCTTGCTCTCCTTAGCCAGGTTGCTCATGATGGGTATGAGGGCAAAGTCAGAGGGAGGCCCACCCCCTCTCCATGGGAGGAGACGCGGCTTTGCATCCAAAGCTTCCTTAGCAATAGGATGGGAGACCCCCAGGATAGGCCAGGAAGAGGAGGCAAGGGGATGGTGAAAGGGCAGCAGGGCAGGACTAAGGCAGGACTTCTCTCAGACCCTCTCTCCCTCCCTCCCTCCCTCCCTCTCCTTCCTTCATTACTTACTTACTTACTTACTTACTTACTTACTTACTTACTTACTTACTTACTTACTTACTTAGAACAGAGTGGTAGGAAAATATTTGAGATGAGGGAGGGAGAAAAACAGGCAAGAAACGCAGCTGGGGAGGTGTCACCCTTCATGAGGAATGAAGAAATGCACCATCGCCTGGAAGTAGCCAGCACATGGCCCTCGCCTACTTCACATATCTGGCTTGGTAGGCTTTGGGGGAGGGGAGGCCAGGAGCAACGTGAGAGTCAATGTTACCTGCGCAATGCCATCCAGCCCCCACCCTGCCTGGTTTCGACAGGCAGCGAGGTGCTCTCCTCACAGTGCCCAAGAGGCTGAGCCAGGCAGTGCGAATCCGAAAAGAAGCGCAATGCCACCCAGCCCCCAGCCTGCCCGGTTTCGGCAGGCAGCAGGGCGCTCTCCTCACACTGCCGAGAGGCTGAGCCGGGCAGTGCGAAGCTCACCAGCTTTGCATCTTGCTGCCTGCTGAAATCAGGCAGGCTGGGGGCCGAGCAGCGGCACACTTCTTTTTGGATTTGGACCACCTGGCTCAGCCTCTCGGCGCTGTGAGGACAGTGCCAGGCAATGGTGCATTTCTTCATTCCTCACAAAGGGTGACACCTCACCAGCGCGCAGCCAGGGGGTGGGGCCAATGCGGCAGGGACCGGTCCCTTGCTGTTTCCAGATGGCCTTGTGGAGCTAAGACTGAATGCATTTCAGCATAGATGGCCACCACAAAATTGTACATTGTCTCCTGGGCAGCCTGGGCCGGGGCTAAGGCAGTGGGGGCCATTCCCTCACTGTTTCCAGGATGGCTTCGCAGGCCACATGAAACCACATCACGGGCTGCATCCGGCCCCCGGGCCTTGTGTTTGACATGTCTATATTACAACAACATCTACTATAGAGATCGAGCTTCATATTTTGTGATTTCAGGAACATAATAGCAGATGGTTCCCAATTCTCTCATCCCGTAACAATGTTGATGCTTATGGGGACTGAAGTAGGATTCCAATGAATTGGAAGGTCAGATGTATTTACTCCGGTATGTAAGGCCCCATTGAAAGCTTTAAAAACTCTTCTAATCTATAAGGCAATTTATATTTCACAAAAATAAAAATATTTTTGTACTGATGCTAGTTATCCAGCATCAACTTGTCAGAATAATGAATTTTAAGTGCTTATAGTCAGTGAAGCAGTAGGCGTGAGCTTAAATGGACTCCAGAAGATGGTAGAGGACAGGAAGGCCTGGAGGAACGTTGTCCATGGGGTCGCGATGGGTCGGACATGACTTCGAAACTAACACCATAGCAAAAATTTTAATACTTATTTCCACAGTAAATGTTGGAAGTTGAACAAACTTTCTAAGTATTGTCACTATATTATGATTTTTTTATTCTGTTAGGAGGACTTTAAACAATTTTATTGCTTTTGACAGATACACTGAAAACTGTAATTAGGATTTTTTTTCTCAATGACTTTAAGATAATTCAAAGCAAAGGCCTGACGGAAAATGCTTTATATTATATAAAGGCATTTGAACATTTTTTCTAACATTCATATTGTCAACTTCTGAAATGAACCTGGCTGAAGCCATCTTTTTCATTTTGAGTTACCACATAGATGGGTGGAGAAGGGGGGGAAGTAGTGTTGCTATTCGTATTGCTAGTCAAAACACCAAGCAGTTCCGTGGGAATCAAGATCATTCCCACAGATGCATGAAGGAGGAGTGAAGACAATTTGAGAAGCCCGCCAATTGCTCTTATTGGGCAGCATGATTTATTGCATCGTAGAGGGGAGGGGAGTATTACTTTTAGTTGCTTTGAATCTCTAGGGAAACTTCAGAGTTGGTTTCACTTTTGACTGTGCCGATATTATGTATCCAATAAACGTGCTATGAGGAAACTTCAAGCCTCGGAGTTCTGCTTTATGTGGTTTCATTAGTCGGAACCCTGACATTAAACTAAGTCTCTAAAAACTTTTTACTGCTCTGAGATAGGAAGCTATTGAGGAATGATCCCCTGGGTCCTGAGCCCCAATCGTCTACCCAATTCTTTTGGGAGAACGGTGAAGACTCATGGAAGATTCCAGGAGGAAGCAGTAGCCAATCCCAGAGCTACACCTGCAGATGGAACCTGGACAGCTGCTCAGGCTGGGGACGGAGTCCTGCTGACCAGAGCACAGCCGAAAATCTGTATGGACAAATCTGACAGGTGAGTGATGCAGGAGGAAGCTCTAGCAGTCAGGGTCCTTTACTGCACCGAGGAAGATCTCCGGCGTAAAAGCACCCCAAGGCCACCAAGGCTGAGTTCCCCTTGATCTCTACCCATGCCTCTCTACCCTATGCCTAAGTGCAGGGTGAAGAGGCTAGCTGGATGGGATGAGTCGGAGTGGAAATACCTGATGGTGCTACATAGTCACTTGATAGAGAGGCTGGATATCAGGGAAGTGACCCTGATTGCACACTATGCGGACTCAGCTAGAACCGAGACCAGGGCAATGGAGCCACTTCCCACTTGCTGGACCCTGACTCCTTGCCATAGCTCGCACTGCTCCCCGCTCCTGAGACCAGCCACAGCATCGAGCCCAGGACCCAGGCGAAGCCCCCCATGTCTTCAACGAGCTGCAACCCCAGTTGGGCAACCGAGAGGGTTCCAAAGATGGGCTCAACCTCAACCGCGACATCAGTACCAGTGGCTTGGCTGGTGGCCAGCGCATTGGGAGCCTCCACCCCATGTGGACCCACCGCCAATCAGAGCCACTTTTGATGGGGATATGGATAGGCTGGCATTCTTTATGAACCAAGTGTGGGCCCAACTGAATTGCTATGCTCTTGACTACCTAGACCAGAGAGTGATGATGAACATGGTGGCAGCAATGAGGACGCACTGGAGCTGGAGAACAAAAAACTTTTCCTGGAAGAGCTGAGAGCCAGGTTTGAGGATGAATCCCAAGCCCTGCAAGCCGAGGTGGAAATA